CTAGGTTTGTTTTTAGTTCTGTCTATGTGGTAAATCACATTTGTTGATTTGTGTATGTTGAACCAAACTTGCATCCCAGAAATGAAGCCTACTTGATCGTGATAAACTTTTTGATGTGCTGCTGGATACGGTTTGCTAATATTTTGTTGAAAATTTTTCATGCAATTAAATAATTTTTATATATGGTAACTTACATTAATTGCTCTTCAAATATAAAACCAATTGTGCATTTCTAGGGCAAATTTCACCTAGAGATTAGATACTAATCTTTTTTATACATTGTGAATTAAACTTAATTTATTTTTGTTAAGGATCTTGGCATCTATGTTAATATTAGTATTATTTATTCCTCACAATTTGTAAATTGATAAACTTGGTCAATTTTATCAATAAAGTTTGGGCCTGGAGTTTTCTTTCTGGAAAAGTTTTTAATTATTATGAATTCAATTTTTAAATCCACGTCCATATGTATTTTTGAATATCCCCATATACATTCAAGTTATCTACTGCTTTTTGAGTAATTGTGTTTTGGGGGAATTTGTTTATTTTGTCTTCTGTTGACTTTATTGGCATAATATTAATCTTTCATTGGAGTTCCAATTTGCATTTCTCTAAGGATTAATAATGTCAAGAACATTTTAATGTTTTTATTAACATTTGCAGATATGTCTTTTTCATATGCCTTGTAATGCTTTTGCCCAGTTTTAAAAGTTAAATTATATTTCTTTTATATAGTTTATAGGAATTCTTTATATAATCTGGATACAATATCCTAGTCCTATATACATATTGTGAAACTTTTTCCTCAGCCTGAAAATTTTCCTTTCCACTTTCTTGCTGGTACCTGGACACAACCCCTGTGAAATGAGAGTATCCTTCTTTCTGCTTTTATTTTATCTCTCTACCTTCACCCTTATCAATAGTTGGCAGGTAATGAACTCAGTAAGAGTGAGATAGTGCAAAGGCATCTAGCTGGCCCTAGCAACACTGGCTTGGGTATACCTCTAATCTCCAGTCACACAAGGCCACTTTGCCAGCCCAGAAGTTACTCCTGCTATGTATTCTACTATAAGTAGACCTTAAATGTGCACCTCCTACTCTCTCTGTAATACATATGGCAGAATAGTGATGGATCCTTCTTTTGGCAGTCTTTCCACAATGCATGGAGCTATGCCTGTCCGACACATCTCTGCATGGACTAAGGAAGGGGTGGATAATTGAGTTAGTGTTCCTGCTTCTTGCTTGTGAGTTTTCCCCGGTAAATCTTGTTTCATGTGTTTATTGCATAGGGCTAGTGCTATCTACATGTCCCTTTATATGACTGTGCTCTCATAGAATTCTGAGGCTGGAAGGAACAAACAAGAGTTCCCACAAAGAGAAATTTAATCACCTCTAGAAAGAAGTACATGCTAATGGCTTTGGAGTTTCTGTGAAGGAAGGGTTTCCTTCTGCCTTACATAGTAGGAAAAGTGAGCAATGTCTTTACCAAGTCAGCACGACCTGATTTCAGCCAGAGGCAGAAGTGGGATTTCTATGATAATGCCCCATTTTAGTTATAGAGGGGCTACATGAGCAAGGCTATAGAGGTGAAAATGGATTCATTGGGGCCAAAATCCTACAAATTGAAGTAAGAGGGAAAACTCAGCACACATTCCAACGGACGATGCAGCTTTCTAATATTGTGCTTTCAAGGTAGATCCTGTCATCTCTAATTACTCCATACACTTCCCCAGATCATTAGCATAACTGTGTGCCAGGTAATCATTTAGCCCCTTTGCTTGGTACAAGGTAGCCATGCTCTCTACTTAGCTCCCTATTTTTTTCCAGGAAGCCTTTCCTGAGACCTGTAGTGACTGTGCTTTTCAGACTTCTCTCTTCGTTATTGTCTTTTCCATTTTTGCCGTTATATTTTAACTTTAATTGTACAGTTTATTTGCTTAACATCTGACATTTTTGTGTTTCTCTTTTACTTATTTGACCTCACTTAATGATAATCCAGGTAATTGGTCGGCTGCTACTAATCAAGTTATATTGTCTGAGGTTGATTGGTTATGTTTTCTTCTAAACTTTCTGTGTAAGAAATAAGAATGATGTTCTCCATCTTGCATGTTCTTCACATGTACCCCGAAAGCTAAAATGCAATTAAAAAATTAAAAAAAGAAAAAAAAAACATTAAGAAAAGAAAGAAGGAAGAAAAAAAAAGAAATAAGATAGCGGAACCTTCCCTTTTTTTTTGAAACAGGGTCTTGCTCTGTGACCCAGGCTAGAGCACAGTGGTGCCACTTGTTTCTGTCCATGAATTTTAACTGGTTTATACCATGAGTACTTCCTCAGTAGGGTATTTTTGTCCTCTGGACGGTGTCTTGGAAAGGTATTGGTCATTGATCGTAGCTAAGTGGCACGTTGGCTAGTGACCACCAATGTCACATGCAGCTGGACTGCAATCTCTTTTCATTCATTTCTCATGGGGTCGTTTGCCTTTGGACTTAAAAACTAAGAAAATACTTCATATGACGATGTCCACATTTGCTCTCTATATGTAACTATTCTTAAACTATGATAAAAGATACGTCAAATGTAGATATTTAAAGGAATTTGGATCGGAAATGAGCTAAATCAGAAGTAGCAATCGAAGGGTAGTGGTTCTGCAATGGCATCTTTCTCAGATTCTGTTTTTCCAAGTCTCATGTTTCCTTTTAAACCCAGTCTGGCCTCTCCTTCTTAACTTACTCTAGAATCACAAATAAAAACTTATAAATTTAATCATTATCTGCACATATCTTTACCCATATATGGGAAAATGGGCAACAGGATATTGTCAGTGAACTCAGGCAAAAAGAGAATTTCTAAAAGAGAGAGGATGGATGGAAAAGAAACAAATTCCCCAGCAGTATGGGAACAGTGGGTATTGTTTTTTTTACTTCTGGATAAGCTGATTAGTGGGCACGTAGCAGAGAGTGGCCTGAGAGGCCTGCTTTGAGCAAGCTGGCTGGAGTCATCACAGAAAAAAGAACTTTAAATAACTCATCCACAAATCCCCGAGAGCGTGCCTGCAGGGAGGGAGACAGGATGACCTGGTGTGATTTCTGGCACAGTTCTTCCTGCAGCACATCTGCCTGAGCTAGACCAGATTTGCATCATTTCCATCATCAGAATTTTCTCAAGGGCAAAATTTCTTTTCTATCACCTGTTTTCCCTTACAATGCAAAAAGTGATCTTGAAGAAGATAAATTTCAAAATGTGGGGGCTTCTTTTAGTTCCCCTCGAAAAACAGTAGAATAGGCAAGATGGTGAATAAGTTCCTAATTTAAACATGTCCCATGTCCCTTCTACCATGTGAGAAAGGCTGTATCCATCAGCTCAGACAGCCAGAGCACATAGAATAGACTGCATGGGTTAAACACAAATCTTTTTTTTTTCCATAACTCCAGAGTATAAAATGGGGGTGCCAGCACGTGGGGCTCTGGTGAGGGCCCTCCTTCTGGCTTGCAGAGCACCCTCTTCTGGTTGAATCCTCACATGATGGAGAGGGAACAAGCCAGCCATCAGATGTCTCGTCTCAGAGGATACTAATCATACTGGATCAGGGCTCCACTTGTATAAGCTCATGTAAACATAATTTCCTCTATAAAGAACCTATCATCAAATATGGTCTCCCTGGGGGTTGTATTTTGGAGGGGACATAAGTATTCAGTCCATTAACAATAGCAAAATCTTGGTTACTGTGCAGTGGGCCACACAGGGGTGCTGGAATCACTGAGCTCCAAATGTCTCTGGGCTGTGCACAGAGCCAGCAGCCTGGAACACAGAGGGTTAAGGTGCAGCCTTGCTTGATATTCACTAGAAGGTACGATGACATATACATAAAATTGCAGCTGTGCTTCCCATCAGGGAGCCATGTACTTCAGCTACGCAGGGGTTGGGAAGTCTCTGTGAGCTTGCAAAGGAGAATAAAGTTGGGATGTCCCTGCTGGGATGGGACAACCTGCATGTCCTGGGCAGGGACAGACAGAGAAGCAACTGCCCATGAAAAGAAAAGCAAAGGACCTGTGGGAGGGACTTGCAGTCTAACCCCAGCCCAGCTTAGAGAAGCCCAGTTCAGCCTTTTGTGGTATGTGAGAGTATTTACAGCAAAAAGCAGGGTTCCTGGATCAGGTAAGTCAGGGATCTAACAAAGGAGGCAGGATGCATAAGAACCTGCAGGGACTATGACATCAGAGCAGTGACATCACAGCCTAACATCCTATCAGAGATGCGATGCCCAAAACCCCGTAGAGACCCCACCCAGGCAGCACGGAAGGCGTTAAGATGAGGACACCCAGATAGAACAGCGAAGTGGGACTATCCAGGGGCCAACCTCCTTCTGAGCTGAGAGCCTCAGGGCTCTCAGCATTCCAGGCTGAGGGCCTTGAGCAGACTCTGACCCACGTAGTTATTCTCTCTAAACAGGTGATTATTATTAACAAACAGGTGTTCTGTGTTTTCTCATAGAACCTAGGTAGGCAACTGGCGCCTCCTTACCACTGATCAAGGACAAACTAAAAAGTATTCTCCATGAGGGAGCCACGGGACTAGGTCACATATCCCTTGCTTAAAGAATTGTTTTAATGGGTGTAAAATATATATTTAATTATATTTATATTTAATGGGTGTGCATAAATTTATATTTATATTTAATGGGTGTGTATATATATGTATATGTGTGTGTGTGTGTGTGTGTGTGTGTATATATATGTGTATATATATATACACACACACATATATTATACACCCATTAAAACAATGCTACTTTAGATGCCCCAACTAGTTTTCCACTTGGTTGGGAGGCAGATAGGTTTTTCTTGCCATCATTCTTCTTAGCAAACAATATATTTTATCATACACTCAGCATTTCTCAGCATCTAGGCACAGGTGGGAAGCCTCTGGAGCACGCTTCATCCAAGGCACCCTCAGGCTCCCTCTGTGTTCTTTCCCCAGCCTCTCTCTGTCTCCCTCGCAGCACAGTGCATTCTGCTGTGCAGAACAGGAAGCACTGGATCTCAGGAAGCCTGAAAGGGGAGGACACTGGACAGTGACATCACAGGATACCCCTCCCATCAGGAAAAGCAAGGCTGAGAACTCAGCTTCTCCCCAGGAGGACCTAGCCCTGAGCACAGACACAGTGTTGCCTTCCCCTTCGTGCCATGGGCTCCAGGCTGCTCTGTTGGATGCTGCTTTGTCTCCTGGTAGCAGGTGAGTCCCCGCAGACAGGACAGCACCCCCATTCTGAGCTTGCCCCCCCCACCCCGCCGTGTCCTCCACTTTACCTTGAGGAGGAGGTACCACCAGGCTGTCTCCTTTTCTCATTTTCCATCTGCTTTTCCTACAGGCCTGGTAGAGGCTGAAGTCACACAAACTCCAAGACACCTGATCAAAATGAGAGGACAGCAAGTGACACTGAAGTGCTCCCCTGTCTCTGGGCATAACAGTGTGTACTGGTACCAACAGGCCCCAGGACAGGGCCCTCAGTTCCTCTTTGAATACTACAATGCGATAGAGAGACAAAAAGGAAACTTCCCTGATCGATTCTCAGGGCACCAGTTCTCTAACTCTACCTCTGAGATGAATGTGAACGCCTTGGAGCTGGGGGACTCGGCCCTTTATCTTTGTGCCAGCAGCTTGGCACAGCCTTACAAAGCCAACCACATTCTGTGCATAAACCTCCCCGGCCCAATGTGCAGCAGCATCAGCCCTGTCATATCTGTGAGAACCTGGGACTGCAGGGGGAAAGACAGGTAATTTAGGATGCTAGGACGCACAGCCTGGGGCTTTCTGCTACTCAGGGCTGGGGGAAACAAGGCCAAGAGGGGCTGCTCAGAGGATGATGCTGCTTCTGTAGGTTGACTGCAGAATTACTTTCTCTGCTGACATGGTAAGCTACCGGGTAGAGGGCATGTTTGTAATTTAACAGCTGGTACACTCTTTTCCAGGACAAGGGATCTCATTTTGTGGTCAAGATTGTTGATAACAGCATAGTGTAGAAGGGAGAATCACAGGGTTTGCTTTATACAACTGAGGGAAAAGAAATTGAGATTTGGGGAAAGTCAAGGAGAGAGAAAACGAAAGATGACTGAAAATAGAGATAGAGCAGACGATGATGAAAAGTGGTGTTCTTTGTACCATGAACTCTCTTTCCCCTCCTCCCAAAGTTTTCAATACCTATAAAATATAAGGTAAAGTTTTCTGGCAACTGGAATCACCTGGTAGCCAGTCCCAGTAGGGGACATCACCAAAGAGCCACTTGTCTGGTATGAGAGCCCTGGTTCGTTTCTGATGTCTTCCTTCTTCTGGCCTTAACCCTGACTCCAGGTACTTTCCAAAACATAGAGGAAGGTAAAATCACCCTTGTTCCTAAAGGAGCACACACTCTCCAGTTTCCCCCGAAATAAATTCTGCTTCTCTGGATCCCTTTCTGACACTCACATCCCAAATCCAATTACCTTTTATGATCAAACGCTCTTTGAACATTTTCTAAAACTCAGCAGCATTTACATCCTCAGCGTTTTTCCTATTTCCATGACCTGGGAGTACCTTTGTTTTCCTAAGACAGCACCAGAAACTGATCATGTGTCAAGGACTGGCTCACACCTGCCTTCCTCTTCACTTCTTACTGTGACATTCCTGGGATTCTACTATATCACTCTCTTTTCTTTATTTTACAGGAAAAGCCAGGCATATAATTGATACCCTTTGATGTTTGTAAAATTAATAAGTTATTGCCCACTTATAGAGAATCTTGGAGTGTGATTAATTAGTGTCTTCTATTTACAAGGGACTCCACTTGAAATACAATGGAAAATGATTATGACAAGTCTTAGTATTTCATATAACTTCTGTAATATTCTAGCAACTATGTCTTCACAGTCAGGATTGATGACCAGTCCTGTCAAGTTCCCAAAGGATATCTAATGCTAGAATTTGCAAATGTTCTTTTGGAGTGAAGAAAACTATGTTATTTCTGCTGACTGAAGAATCACTTAAGAAAGGAATTATGGTACAGTAATATTTGTAAAAACTCATAATCCTGTAAAAAAAACTTCCTCACCATAACCACACCTTCCACAACCACATTTTTAGTGATTTGGCGAAGATCGTCAAAGGTGCTTCTTTATCACCCTTGATGAAATCAACCTGAAACATTGAGAACAAAAAACTAGCTTTGCTCAGTAATGGAATCTTATCATCTTTGACAATGAAAAGATATGTGTTTGTGAGTGTGTGTGTTTGTGAATGTGAGTGTATGTGTGTGTTTTCTTGTGGATACTACTCACATAGAAAGAGTTTCTCCACCGGGAATATTTTATGAGGTGCTGGTTTACTGACAGAGATTCTAGGCACTTCTGGGTAAGGATGGGAAAGAGCAGACCTAACTGAATCTGCTTAGTTATACCTGATAGGATAGTTTATTTCAAGATTTTATAAATTCAGAAATAAATTTGTAAAATTGAAAAATCCCCTTTATAGAATGTGCTAACTAAAATTTGCGAATAAACTAAATACAATGTGTGAAACTATGTGGGTCTGAATGATCAAAGCGAGCTCTGTAATGTAGTGTTTTCAGCCCATATTGGCTTCATAAACTCACACTGTTTCATTCTGTGGCCTCTATAATCTGGCTCCTCTCTTCCACCTTAGGATGTTTATTGCAATGATGTAACCGTAATTTCTCGTGCAATCAAGATGTGTCTTTTGTCTCCACTGGCCAAGGGTGAATTTGAAGTTCCACCCTAAATCAACCCTTTTTGGAAAGTAATACACAAGGTGTGTATGAGAGAGTGGGGGTTGCAGGGGTTGGAGTGGGGGCGTCTCTGTTCCTGACTTGGACAATCTTGAGCTCCTCAGGTCAGGTGTGAATCCATGGGACTGTGGAATGTTGGCCACTTGGAGGCGCTGTGGCTCCACAATGCTGCAGGGAACCCTGGGGAGGGCTGGTTAGGTTTAGTTTAGTGTTTTTTTTTTTTTTTTTTCTTATCTATAAAATGAGACTAATACTCTCCATCTGCAGAGTTGTGTCCAAAATTTAACACCATAAAATATTTAGCACACAGTGGAAATCTAGCTATTTTGATTTCCTTTGCTAATCTCAGACAGCCTGTTCACTGCACCAATACCCAAAGGCAGATAAAGACACATTTTGCCTGGAAATCTTAGGCTGAGGACTCAGGAAGTCACAGTATGGAAACATATATGCATGATGATTACTTTGACAGTATTACCTAAAGAACGTAGCATATATCTCTCCTCAGGCATTTAAAACTCAGTATTACCGATATACAAATTATATAAACATTACAAATTTTAAATAAGCAGATCAGTGATTTTTGAGTGATGTACATATGCATGCAACCTCATCTCTACTGAGATGTAGAGCATCTTCATGACCCAGAAAATTCCCTCATGCCCTGTTACAATGTTTCTCTACATCTCCAGCAAGCAGTGATGTGATTTTCACTAGAGAAAGTTTGTAGAGCAGTTTTTTTTTTAATTGCATTTTAGGTTTTGGGGTATATGTGAAGAACAATGCAAGATAGTTGCATAGGTACACACGTGGCAGTGTGATTTGCTGCCTTCCTCCCCATCACCTATATCTGGCATTTCTCCCCATGCTGCCTCTTCTCAACTCCCCACCACCCACTGTCCCTCCCCTATTTCCCCGCAACAGACCCCAGTGTGTGATGCTCCCCTCCCTGTGTCCATGTGTTCTCATTGTTCAACACCTGCCTATGAGTGAGAACATGCGGTGTTTGATTTTCTGTTCTTGTGTTAGTTTGCTGAGAATGATGGTTTCCAGGTTCATCCATGTCCCTACAAATGACACGAACTCATCGTTTTTGATAGCTGCATAGTATTTCATGGTGTATATGTGCCACATTTTCCCTGTCGAGTCTATCATCGATGGGCATTTGGGTTGGTTCCAGGTCTTTGCTATTGTAAACAGTGCTGCAATGAACATTTGTGTTCATGTGTCCTTATAATAGAATGGTTTATATTCCTTTGGATATATACCCAGTAATGGAATTGCTGGGTCAAATGGAATTTCTATTTCTAGGTCCTTGAGGAATCGCCACACTGTCTCCACAACGGTTGAGCTAATTAACACTCTCACCAACAATGTAAAATGTTCCTATTTCTCCACATCCTCTCCAGCATCTGTTGTCTCCAGATTTTTTAATGATCGCCATTCTAACTGTCATGAGATGGTATCTCAATGTAGTTTTGATTTGCATTTCTCTAATGACCAGTGATGATGAGCATTTTTTCATATGTTTGTTGGTTTCATGTATGTCTTATTTTGTAAAGTGTCTGTTCATATCCTTTGCCCACTTTTGAGTGGGCTTGTTTTTTTCTTGTAAATCTGTTTTAGCTCTTTGTAAATTCTGGATATCAGCCCTTTGTCAGATGAATAAACTGCAAAATTTTTTTCCCATTCTGTTGGTTGCTGATTCACTCTAATGAGACCTAACACCATAAAAACCCTAGAAGAAAATCTAGACAAAACCATTCAGGACATAGGCGTAGGCAAGGGCTTCATGACCAAAACACCAAAAGCATTGGCAATAAAAGCCAAAATAGACAAATGGGACCTAATCAAACTCCACAGCTTCTGTGCATGTGTCTTTATAGTAGAACAATTTATAATCCTTTGGATATATACCCACAAACTCCACAGGTTTTGACTAGTCTTCTGCACGGCAAAAGAGTAGTTTTCTTAAGGAACATTTCTAGTGGAACTGTAAAACCTCTACTGCCTAATCCTCTTTAATACATAACTAAATAGTTAACAGGATGAGGAGCTCCTGAAAAGTCATATGGTTTTAAAAGGGGTTGGAGCCAAGAGCTACCAGATCCACGTTAGAGACAGTTCTGTCTGAAGATGGTTGTTGTGAGGAAATGACCTCCAAAGGTCTTCCAAGCCGGTACAGGCAGATTCTACAAAGTTTACATATTCATTTACATTCATTTCTTATCTGCCCATTCACTCCAATTATTTTATGATGATATTTTGATAAAAATTAATCATCTTTAAGGGAAATGGCTTGAGTTTTATCAGACACATATGCAGCTGAGCTTCGTGATCACACACGGAATGTCCTGGGGCCAAACAAAACACAATAATAGTGACCTTGTTGAGACATGATGTCACATTGGAAGAAAGGTCCTCTTTGTGTTGACTCTAAGTGTCCAATTCATAAAATCTAAGCCTTCAGCTACAAAATCCCCTTTTCTTCCTGGAACCAGGCTCCTATCCTGGGTGTTTGCCTCCTGGTCCAGCACGGACACAGACGTGGCACCCACTCATGAACTTATTGGATCCTGGCTGTGACTTTCAGCACCAGGTGGCCCTTTGCTCTGACTTTAATTTCTGCATCCTTCTCTGCTAAACCCCATAGACGGTGAGTGACTCGGACTCTAGTCATGTGCTTGTGTGAAAAGGAAACCAGCACAAGCAGAGGTAAGCAGAATATGAAACAAAACCATGTACTTAGGATCAGCAATGTGACTTACTGGCAGATCCTTTGTTCAAATATCACAAGGAACTTGAAGATCATGACAATGTGACAGCAACACGGGGTCCATTTAAGTGTGGGGCTCTGTGCACTAAGATACAGGTTTTGATTTTTTTTTTAATTATTATGAATTAGTGGTGAGAATTGTGACCAAGGGAATATTCCCTATGAAATATGACATTTAAAATAAAATGAGAGCACTTTTTCTTATCCCGGAGCCTGCTTCCTCTCTCTTCTCCCTATGTCCCTCACACATCAGGACCCCTTTGTGCACACAGGTCATGGGCAGCGCTGGGCGGCCACCATCATCCACAGAGGGCAGTCACCAGCATGAGGTGGTCCTGCCTGCTGTGGTCTCACCCCAGGCACAGAAAGCAAGAGCCCTGGGTGGAGCTGAAGGTGCTCAGCTGGGCTTGTCAGGACTCCCATCTGTCAGTGAATTGACAAAAAACAGAGCAAAATGACTCCTCCAATGCTGATGAGCCTGCCCCTGGGATTTGGAGACCTGATGACAGAGAAAACCAAGATAGGCACAGGACTTTAACAGGATTATGGTCAATTAAGCAAATTAGAAAAGGATACTTGAAGGAGTATTTGGGACACAGGAGTCAAAAACACCAGGAAGACATGAGGATTTTCCCTAAGAGTCTAAATTACAGAAATGTTTAGATAACTAACACCAGTGTATGAATGAGGAATTATATTATCACAGGGATAAAATTTATACTGAGTTACAAACTGTTTACAAAAACGCGAAGAAAAACTTGTAAGGCTGTGTCGATTCAGACAAAGGCATTCTTCCCATCCAAATTGTTCACTTTATCTTGAATTTGACCATCTGGAGAAGAGGCGTGGCCTCTCCTGACAGGAAGGCGCTGGGGCCCAGGCAGGGAGAAGGAGGTCTCAGAATGACTCCCTTGAGAGCCCTGTTCCCCGTTCATCAACACACAGACCCAGAAGACTCCTCCATCCTGCAGCACCTGCCATGAGCATTGGCCTCCTGTGCTGTGCCGCCTTTTGTCTCCTGTGGGCAGGTGGGTCCTGGGAAGGGCCCCTGTGTGGATATCAAGGCCCAGAGCTTTCCCACTGGGGCTGCAGCATTGGATTTGTTCTTCTTTGCAGGTCCAGTGAATGCTGGTGTCACTCAGACTCCAAAATTCCAGGTCCTGAAGACAGGACAGAGCATGACGCTGCAGTGTTCCCAGGATATGAACCATGACGGCATGTACTGGTATCGACAAGACCCAGGCATGGGGCTGAGGCTGATTCGTTACTCAGTTGCTGAAGGTACCACTGACAAAGGAGAAGTCCCCGATGGCTACAATGTCTCCAGATCAAACACAAAGGATTTCCCACTCAGGATGGAGTCAGCTGCTCCCTTCCAGACATCTGTGCACTTCTGTGCCAGCAGTGACTCCACAGTGCTGCATGGCCGTCTCCTCTCTGCACATAAAGGCAGGGAGGCTCTGCCCTGCTTCCCACCCAAGACTCAGTGATGCCTTGGGCAGAATTCTCTGTGTCAGGAAACTTGGAACCCTATCATCCTGGGTCTGAGGCCCCCAGGATGAAATAGGATTTGTATTTCAGACCCACCTAGACTCCCATCTCTCCCTGGGGACCATGCTGCTTCCTCTCTCTAGGGTTCCCCCAGCCCCACCCTCACGTGGTCTCTCCAGTGTCCCACCTTTTCCATATGAGCAGTCACCAATCAAAGCCTTGTTGTGTTTCTCCACCTTCCACTTCCCTGCCCCTCTCTACAGCAGCCATGAAGGGACCCCCTCTTCTGTGCCTTCTTCCTTCCCATCACAGTGACTTCAAAGTCCATTTCCTCTGCCCTGAGCTGGAGACTTCTTTTCTCAAGTGGCCAACTCCTTCGTGTGCTTCAGATCTCAGCATGATCAGCCCCCGTTGAGGGAAGTGCTTCCTCGCCTTCCAGCTGAGATCAATTTTTCTATTATAAGCACTGATGGTAACATGTGCTTGTTAGTCAATAGAGTTTAGTACAGTTGGAGTTCTCCAGTTTACTTGTCTGAATATTTTTCTGCTCAATTCAATTTTGAACTCCATAAAGGCGAAGGCTGTGCTTGTTACATTTACCAACAGCTGTGCCTGGCATGAAGGGAGACTCATTTCACAGATAATAGTTGAGTGAACCAATGACAGGCTGATGGAGTGACGGGTGGGTGGATAAACCAACAACAGGAACATTCTAGATCAGCTGTACCCTGGCAGAGATCTAGAGTTAACTGTACCTGAGATGCTCTGCTGTGAGCTTATCGAAGGACACGCTTGTTTAACAAGCATTGGACTACCATTGTGCAAACCAGTTTGTTCAGTTTGTCTAGGAATTACCAATTTAAAATATCACACGTTCTTCAGACTCAATGAAGATAAAGTCTACATTACATAATTCTAATATCTAAGTTATTTTTTTAATGTTTAGGTTAGGAACCAAAAGGGAAAGAAGAGGGATTATCTGTAGACTTAGGAGCTTTTTTCTACTGAAAATGTATTTATATAATTTTTTTCTTGGAGAAGCAGGTAGGGAAAGTTATGTCTACACAGCCTTACAGGTGCTAATTTATGGAGATTGTATCATAAAAGATGACAAAAATGAGAATTGTGTTCCACAGGGAACATTGTGGCTGTCCTGAGAGCATGTTCTGACCCCAGGAACCAAAGCCAGGAGTGTGTCTGGCCACCCAGAGTGCAGAAGCCAATTCTTGGCCCCATGCATCTGGGATGAGACTGGAGGCAGTGGAAGGCTTTGGACACGGCATTCTGCACTCTCAATGCCAGCCTCTCTGAAATTCCACAGATTAATGTCAGATACGTAGACTCCCACTATTCAGACAATTAAAACAAGAATCAATGAAGAAGACTGAGTAGAAGCAATAAGTAATTGAAACATATGAAGACAAGTAATTTTGCCATTAAAAGATATATAAGTTAAAGTGATATATTTAAAGGCATACGAGAGCGAATTGATACGTGAACAAGAGAAAAGAGACTGTCAGAAACTATCAAGGAAACACAATAGTCAAAGAGAACACAGACTTGATGAAGATTATCATTGAAAACAAAATGGAAATGAAGGAAAGATGACATGCTTTTTCAGAAGACATTCTTACTGAGGTCAAAGACAGTTCTGGAGGAGTTACCTCGAAGGGAACACAGAAATAAATAGGAAACAAGAAAAGTTAACAGATAAGGAATAAAACAAGCTTGTAGGTTCTAGTATATGAGGATATATACATATATAATATTTTGCTGGAACTTCCCATTTTTCTTACACATGATTGAAGTGTCAGAAAGCGAAAGTATAGCGAATGATAGGTGATAATTATGAGACAGTAGCTGAGAATCTTCAAGACATGTTTCAGGACCTGAATCCTCTGTTCCAACAAGTCAAATGAATATGAAGTAAGATGAAAACATATGTTATGGTGAAATTGTGGAACACAAATGATAAAGAGAAGATTTAAAAGTAGCCCAAAAGATCAGTATCTCCCAGTGGAATAGACTGAAAGGAACAGTGAAAGTCAAGGAAAGATATTAAAAATAAGCATCAAGGCAGAATTATAATTCTCAGTTATTAAAAATTGAGATTGAGGGAAACATATTTATAGGGAGAGAAAGAAGAAACACTGAGTTTGCCACCAAGGTATCTTTTCTGAACTATAGTTAACAAAGGTGGAAAATGATCCCTGGAAAGAGGCATGAGGTGCGGCTTGTGAGGGGACCCATGTGATGGGACAGTCCCATTGGGCACGAGTGACTGGGGGAATGGGGGAGGCTGAGCATGAATGGGGATGGCACAGGGGACCCTGACTTGCAGGAAAGACAATAAGATCACCTTTTGGTGCCTTGTGTTGGCATAGCTGTTGACACATCCTAGAGAGCATGCCCAGCAGACAGAGGAATGGCTGTGGGATGAAAAGATCAACTCGGAGATGCAGCGTGAGGCCTCCAGGTCCAGACAGCATGGGAGCCCAAAGCAATGACACATGGACTGATGTTGTTAAAAAGGAATTTATAGGCTGGGCGCAGTGGCTCACACCTGTAATCCCAGTACTTTGGGAGACCAAGCTGGTGAATCACTTGAGGTCAGGAGTTCAAGACCAGCCTGGGCAACATAGTGAAACCTCATCTCTACTAAAAATATAATAATTGCCTGCTGTGGTGGTGCACACCTGTAATCCCAGGTACTCAGGAAGCTGAGGCAGAAGAATCACTTGAACCCAGGAGGCAGAATTTGCAGTGAGCTGAGATCACGCCACTGCACTCCAGCCTGGGCAACAGAGCAAGACTGTCTTAAAAAACAAACAAACAAAAAACAAGGAACTCATAAATATTTAAATCAGTCATCAAAGTATATCCTAATATAAACTTTTGTTCCTGTGGTTGTGTGGATTAAGAGAGGATGTGATGCCACTGTAGGACCTTCAGTATGGGGACAAGGGTGACCTCCCTTCTCTGCTCCTGCTCACAGTGACCCTGATCTGGTAAAGCTCCCATCCTACCCTGACCCTGCCTTGGGCACCAGGTTCCTCTACTGGGTGGCCCTGTGCCTCCTGGAGGCAGAAGAGTCCTCAGACACCAAGCAGCTTCAGTGTGTGTGTGTGTGTGTGTGTGTGTGTGTGTGTGGAGAGAGAGAGGGAGAGAGAGAGAGAGAGAGGGAGAGAGAGATGGGTGAGAGAGATGACTGTAGTTGTTTTTCTCATTCAGTTCCCAACTCCTGTCTCCGCAGATCACACAGGTGCTGGAGTCCCCCAGTCCCTGAGACACAAGGTAACAAAGGGAGAAAAGATGTAGCTCTCAGGGAAGATCCAATTTGGGGTCATGCAATCCTTTATTGGTACCAACAGAGCCTAGGGCAGGGTGCAGGGTTTCTAATTTACTCCCAAGGCAAGGATGCAGCAGATAAATCAGGGCTGCCCAGTGATTGGTTCTCTGCAGAGAGGCCTGAGGGGATCGGCTCCACGCTGAAGATCCAGCACACAGAGCAGGGAGACTTACTTGGCCATGAATCTCTGTGCCAGCAGCTCAGCCACAATGTGGCACCGTCACTTCCTCCTTTCTGCTCACAAACCTCATCTTTTTCTCTCTTTTCTCAGCTCCTACAAACCCTTAACAGTGGCCTCTCTTTGCTCCTCCCTCCCCAGGGAAAAGAAGTAAATTTGGGCCACAGCTGTCACAGATTCACCCATGAGACACAGTAACTGTAAATGTGGGTGGTGGAAGCAATCGTGGCCCATTGTCACCTGGGGGCAGGTGAGTCCTCAGACGCCAAGTAGTCTCACTCTGTGTGTGTGTGAGATGGGTGATAGAGAGAGATGACTATAGTTGTTTTCATCTGAGTTCTCAGAGCCAGCTCACTGGCTCCAAGGCAAACAATGGGTATCTTAGCCTCGGCCTTCAGGGCTGGGACACGCAGTCTTCTTCGGGACCGGGAGGTTACTGCCCGCATACAGAAGTTCGGGCATGGGCAGGGAACAGGCCTCTTCCCCTGCATGTGTCGGGGCGTCTGGCAGCTGCGAAGTCTGAAGCTTCATCCACAGGAACATTCTTTCTTCTGAAGCCTCTTCTATCCCTGTCACATTGGAAGTTTTCTGCAACACAAGAGGAAACCATTCTTCCTGTTTGACTTAAAAGTCTTTGTGGCTTTTGTGGCAGTTACCTGATGAATACAGTCATGATAAGAATAAGACTTCATTTCTTCTGCCTAGAGTGAGCAATCATTGAAATAATTTCCCTGAGGTTCTTCATTTTGTTTTCATTCACCACTGCTCCCGTGTGGAGAGGCATCCACTACTGCCGCAGGGTCACTTGGTTCCCCAGGAAATCCAGTTTCTAGAACTTGAATGCTGACTAATAAGATTGTATATATGTATAACGTGCAGCTTGCCATTAAAAAATGTACGTACATGCTGCAAGGACTAAATATAGCTAATTAACATATGCAGCGCCTCAATCCTTATCCTTTCCTGTGGTGAGAATATTTGAAATGTACTGTTAGAAATTTTCCAGAACACAATGCACTGTTACTGATCCTAGTCAAATAGACCTTTATGAGTGAAATTTGGTATCTGTTGACCAACATCTTCCCAGCACTCCATCTGTACTCCAGCCTCTGGTCATTACTGCTCTAGTCTTTTGATTTGAAATAATTTCCCTGAGGTCTTTAACTCAAGAAGTTGGGGGTATTTTCTTTATAATAAGGCTTATATTACTTTTTGTTTTCTTTGTTACTTCACTGTATTATTTGTTATAAATATAAATAAGTATATTGTAATACAATCCTCCACCCCTCTATGGGTGAAGCTACGGTTCACATATTCGAAATTTCAAGCTGTCATCAAAGCTGACATTTTCTGGGAATCCTCAGAGACAGCCCCAGACACCAAAGTTAAGACAGAATGTCCCAGATCAGCCAGGACAGATGTGCCTGGGTCCTGCATAACTGGTTGAGGAATTACACTTCCCTGGGGAAGTATAACTTCTGCCTGCTCACACTAGGCAGAAAAATGTTGTGGTGCCGCAGACACCAAACTTCTTCGTCTAGCAAATGATTGTTCTGA